TTTTACTGGAAATAAGAATGGAAAAAAAATTCTAACATTTTTGCATCAAGAAATGTCCTTAAAAAGTACTTTCTTTGTTCTGCAAACCCTAACTACATGAGTTCTAAAACTTGATTACTCAGCGCAGAATTGTACTGTAAATTTAACTTTATTTTCCAAGGCAATCATTCTCCATACTGCACTCAAAATGAAATGAACGTGATATTCCAAAGCATCATTTTGATTATATCAATTGTAAGACTTCATATTTTTCCAACACAATAATTCCAAACAATCAATGACAAAACACAAACACACATGCAACTAATTCAAAGCTGGTTCCCTACCCCAAATCACATGTACTTAATACGGAAATATACCAGTTAATAAATCCAGTCCATCACAAGCAAACAAGCAAATTTAGCAGAATCGACAGCAGAAACAAAATCCATCCATTCCAAACCAACTCGAATAATTTATGTAATGCACATTCATCCACTACATGACTCTAAATGTTAATTTCAAGTGAACCAAAACGACAACATTTTAAATTAATATCAAGCGCGCGACGAAGTTCAAAGGTCACTTGCAGGCACTATATCAGCATTAATAATATGAATGTGTATTGATGAATGTACAGTTGTTTCTTTAATTTGGAATACACCATATTCAGTTACTTTGTTGTTTGTTGTTTATTCCTTTCATTATTAAGCCTTAGCCAGAAAAACGAAATGAGTATAAAAGAAAAAGGTTACTTCATTTATACAGAAAATATAATTTGTCTTTCAGATTAATACTGAACTTCAATGTTTTGCATTATTGCTCATATTTTCCCATACAAATGCAGTAACCTATAATTACTACATTAAGGTTCTTGATGGTTTCATTCTATACTGAAAGTAGTAAAATTCTTCAGATATATAAAATACAGATAGAAAATCAAAGAGACAGATAATAGTAAATGGACATATGGTAGTTATTTATGCAGTATACTGATGGCTGGAAGAAGAGAACGAATTATAAAAATCGTTCCAAATCCGAATAGTCGAATTTCATAGTATAATTATTACCTGGAATCTTCAAAGCCGAAACTTCGACATTTTTCTATGTGTCTAACGACCCAATTAGACATTTACAACGTCAAAACACTGATATTAATGTTCAGTGATATTTGCGTTTTCACACTGATCGCCTATCTTTGCTGACAAATCGTTAATGTATTTCCGACTTTTATATTTAAAATAGATCATTGAAAGCCTTATCGCGAATTGAGAACGAAAGTAAAACTCTTTTTTTTGGAAACCTAATAAACATCATTTGTTATGTTCTAGCGTTTCCCGCATGCGACCAGAATGTACAGTTTGTAAAGTGCTCTACGAGTATAAGGACTATCTTACTAGATTTGTCTTCATTGTATCAACCAATGTTCCAGTCCACCTTGTGACCATGTTTTACACATTGTGTATAGTTTGGTGGATGTATGTGGTATAAGAAGACGTTGAAACGTGATCCTAAAAGCAAGCATAACTGTTATCCTTGGTTGTTAAACATAAGAAACCAGCGCTAGTAAAAAGATTTTCAACCTTGTGATTATTCTATTTCTGGCGGGACAGAGATCTGAAATGGACCTGTTGGATTTAGCTATCAGATTATAAAGGCAAGGAGTCCATACTCTTTTTAGAAATGAAATTTATATGCTTAAAGTTTACTTTGTAGAAATATGACAAAAGGTTCTTTTATAAATCCGATCTCATAGAAAGCAAACGTTTTAACATATTTCATGCATACATTTGAGTATAGATTCATTCAAAACCCTCTCTCCTTTAAAGAAGTTTGATCTTTATTTTCTTTTATCGTTTGTTTAAACTTAAATGAAGCAATAACTATATAAATAGCATCGATAGCAGGAAATAATATATTGACACACTATTGTTCTTCAGGTATTAGGTAAAGTACTTAACTTACTGTTTGAAGACAACATGAAGAGCAAAGTTTCTACAAAACGATGTAGATTTTATGTCACGCTTATTAACTGAATACAAGGATGTTCTTTATATTTAAATGGCAAATATTATTTACCTTTAGATTATAAATGTGTAAATACCGATCGTTTGTTTAATCAATTAATCAAATTAAACTAAAGTCATTTTAGTGAGTATAATCAACAATACCAGTAGTTATGTTCCAGCAAGTGAACAAATATTATACTGATTTTCAAATACATTTGTTTGCTTAAGTTGCAATGCAGTCTTGCTTACTTATCTGATTTTTCTCTTCGTGTTTGAGTGAACAGGTGAATTCTATTAAACTAAATGCGAACAATTGTGGATATTAGTCTCCTTCGTTTATAAAAATAAAATACCCTATTGTTTTAGATATATTCTCCTTCGGTTGTTAATATATTCCTTTTTTGGTTAGATGTCCTTTTCTTTGTAAATATATTCGCCTTTTAGTGGAATTTGCTTATGAAGCTATATATTATTTGTTAAAGAAATAACATAGAGCAAGACTGTGTCCATAACGGTTTTAGTAAGTTTAAGAAAGACGCTTTAGATGTCAAGTCCATTCGTGAATAATTACTATCATGTGATTATTGTGCTTTTGATGTCAAGTCTATTATTGAATCATTATCATTACGTGCCTGTTGTACGCCGACGCAATCACATGTACTAAATTTACTTGTAACTTAAGTGGCATTTATAGAAAATCAAACTTTATAGCTATTTCAAAACCACACTTCATAGGAAATCCCACCGTTTATTTATAGCAAATCTCTCAGAAAGATGTTGAGCCGCATTTCTGCTTTAACGTTAATTAATAATATATCACCGTAATTAGCTTTTGCGAGAAGGGGGATATTACTACTTTTTTCACAAATGGAAAATATTATATTAGGAAATACTACACTAATTTTCTCCGCGGTGTAAAGGTTTTAAAATAGAAACACGAAAGCATGCCATTATGATTTGATATGTAAATTATTGATTATAACAGGGTAGCACAATCCCAATCCTGTTTAAAGTTAGCATGTTACAAATAAATAACAATTTCTCACGCACACTCTCTCAGTCATCATAGATTTCAGAAGCTAATACAAAGCAAAAATATAAAACTCTGGGGGAGACATTTTCTAGATAAAATGTTTCTTTAAGGAAAACTGTTTCAGCATATTTTGAAGAGTGGACTTTAACGAGTTTATATATGAATCTAATTTAAGGTCTGTTCTGCTTGCAATAGGCCTATTTGTCAACGTCATACATTGTGAATTTAACAGTTAGAAGTTTTCATATCCTCATGCCGCCCTCCAACATAATGTTCTGAACATCTCTCTCTCTCTCTCTCTCTCTCTCTCTCTCTCTCTCTCTCTCTCTCTCTCTCTCTCTCTCTCTCTCTCTCTCTCTCTCTCTCTCTCTCTCTCTCTCTCTCTCTCTCTCTCTCATGATATTTAAAATTAGGACGAGTAAACCAGTTAGTTTAAATTCTAACAAATCTGTATTCGGATCCGCGATTCACACATGTTATATGGTATAGTATTCCATGCAGAGTTGCTGAAAATACCCCAACTGGTTAACTCATTACAACGAATAACAAAGAAATTTAATCGCCTCTAGGCCCATTCTTTTATTAATTTGTTAGTATTCTTTTACAGATGCTAGAACATTGATTTTAAATAATCTAGTAAATAAAAGCTACCACACGAGCAATGAAATTACACCGTATAGATGAAATTACACACGTATAGATCATACTAAAATGTCTTCATCTGGGTTTGCTTGTTCCATGTTGTTACACAACCCACCAATGTTAGAATAGTCACAGCTAAACCCTGCTTTTCGACACGATAAAAGTTATTTCAAACCCTGCTTGGCATGACCTGAACCAGCTTTTCCACATCTAATTTTAAGTCATAATATTGTTTCCCCACGAGGGCCTCCCTATTTTCTGTTTTACGGATGATTAAAAGTGATGATTAAGAGTGATTTGCAGGTGTTATATCTTGTCACTTCTGCAGCTGGCACTCGAACTTGAACTGACACCTTCATACTGGTAGAAGATACGTGCTGTTGCGAAACAATGTTCGTGCAAACAGAATGTTAATCCTACCAAGAGAAAATCCAACACCACCAGCGTCTTGTTGATAGGGATAAAATATAGTACTGTTCAAGTTAATTTATGTACTGCTTACGCTGTATGAATGTTAGATGATTCGTGTGCTCCTACCACCATAGCGCTCACTTGCAGCATTCAAAAAAACAAATGGAGCTTATATGTGACTCAACACTGTACGCGAGCTAAAATATATAACTCGCACAGATGTTGAGTGTACACTTAAATATTTAATATTTGAGGAAAATCATCTACCAGCATTCATAAATGGTCAACTTTGCATACATGCATGCATACGTACGTACGTATCCATATAGGTGGCATTGCTACTACTAAAGTGAAACAAACGTAATAAAATAAGCCATTATAGTCTTTGCTGACCTCATGCAAAAATTATATATCTTTATATTTTATATTCTTTAGGTTATTAAAATAGTAATCTGTGACATTACTGAAACTGTAAAAAGCTTTTAGAAACTTGGTTCTATCGTAACTACCTTTAATTTATTATTGCAACTAAATACAAGTATATATTCTTTTTCGAATTTTTCTATCAGATCTCTTTGGAAAATCCAGCTATTTCGTCATTTCTGAAAAAGGTGTGAATTCTTTCAGTCACAGTTAGTTGATCCATTATGACTATACTCAGAACAAACAAGTTATATTAAAGGATTTGATTGAAATGGCAAATGAGACACTATGAAGAATTTTTTTAATTTTATTTCTTTTTTTAAGAAACAGTAAAAATTATTAAGTTAAACTAAAACTCAGTCAATCAAGAAGTTTCTTTTGTCGGGGTAATGATTTGTTTATCCTCATTTGAAATTCAAACGCTCTCCTGATCACTCGTTGAAAACTTTGTGACAACTTGTAATAAAACAAACGTCATCACTTAGCGTTGTAATCGAAGGATTTTGATTGTGGCCTAGTGGTTAGAGCGTCCACCAAAGATGCGGGAGGTCGCAGGTTCGAAACCCGGCCGAGTTGTACCAAAAACTTATGCAAATGGTACATGCAGCTACCTCGCTAGGAGCTAAGCATTAAGAGGTTAGTGTTAGGACTGGTCGGCCTGCTGTGGGGATAATGTAATGGTAGTGCTACATTGCTATACATCACTATAAACTGCCACACTGCAGATGTAGCGATATGACTCTAAATGTGTTCAAGCTACGTTAAAAATCCAATCTCACACACACACAAAGAATGCATTATTTACAACTTTCACCTGTTCCTAGAAACGGTAAATTAATCTGAATATCCTCAAATCCTTTAAATTAAACTGGATAAAATGAAATGTACAAGTTTGGATCATCCATCGAGATCTAAAAGAAAAGCGATTATCGAATTTTGCGGCCCAGTAATTCATAAATTTCTCTCTTCTTCAGCTCAGTTAATACATTTCTAAATAATTTCTATCTACTTATAAATGCAGAGTTTGGCGTCATAATGGAGGATTTAGAACTAAATTATATAACTATATTGGAGAATGCTAAAAAGAGCTTAGTTTTGTCTTCCAATTATTTTACATTTAATAATGTAAATAATGTGAATTTCCGAAAAGGTCCATCTATGATGTATGCGAGACCAGTTTACTAGAATATATATTTTCTTCGTTTCTGGGGGCCCCGAGTGGCCGAGTGGTCTAAAGCGCTGTCCGTTACGGATCACTGCCATCTCACCTCTGTCTGCGTGGGTTCGAGTCTAGGATTCGGCGAATGTGGATATGTGAGAAAGCTTGCCAGTAGCTTCTCGTGGGTCGGTGGTTCTTTCCGGTGATTTCCCGGTTTCTTCCTCCACCATTAATACTGGCCGCCATGAATAGCCTACCGTGTGCTGAAAAAATGGCGTTAAGCACAACAACTACAACTAAATCTTCGTTTCTGATAATTTCATTTGGTGAAGTATTGCAAAAATATCGATGAATTGACGGTCACGTGATAGCCGTCACAGCTACGAATGTTACGTCTAAAACGACCTGACACGAGAGGAACTTATTTTGGAAGATCGTGCGAATAAATATGGATAAAATTTAAGAATTTGTTTCGCACGTTTGAAAGAGAATAGAGCTAAACGTTATTTCATGGCGTATATAATAGAATACTACACGCTTGCATAGCGATAAGCTGAATAATCTACTCTGGCATCTGATTCAGGACATCATTCCTTTATACTTAGACTTCAGTGATATTAGTCACGCCTGAATTATTCAGATTAATGGATTTACCAACGTTTTATATCGTGTGTAAATTGAACACAAACTTTTATCTGCGCATTTAGAAAATGAATAACATATATTTACAACAACAAAAAAAGCCAAACACGTAATCTTGCTGCGTTTCTAGTTTAATCAAAATTTACGCGCCCTGTATACTCACGATTCTGATTCTAAGAGTTACTTTTTCATATGCATGATCCATCCCGTAGGATATTCTGTTGCATTAGAGTTATCAGTCTTGATGGTATGGTCAAGGCTATGCGTAATATAATGCCTTAAGATGATGTCGTCACAGAATGGATGGTTGGAATGGTACTTATGGAAAACAGAGACAACACTCGCAAAAATTAAGATGATTTAATTAGATGAATAAGATAAATTATAAAATAAATAACAAAAAAGAGAAAAAAAACTGCATTAAAAGCGTTCTTAAATAGTATTTATTCTTCAGTTCTTAGGAATGCTTAATGTTCACTGGTATTTTCGCACTGAATATTATTCACCGATAATAGGAGTAAGGTACTAATATTAGTACTAGGTTGGTCAGCTTAGTCTGCAGTATGCTGTCGATGTAAAGCTGCCACGCTCCATTGGTTTTCTTGATAGATCATTGGCTGCACGTGGGAGCATGTTTTTCCAACTTTTCTGCTTCCTCCCTTGTCTCTGTGATGCAAGCACGATGTTCTCTGGCCGATGTCTCTGTCCTGAATATAATGTAATGATGTGATGAGTTTTAAGTTTCCGAGTCCTTTCCAATTATAGAATAGGGAAAGCTACTAGGTGAGTGCAATAATTACATCATCAATTACTTAACCAATGGTAGCCAATCTAAGCTTTTGAATAGTCTTGGAATTGGGTTAAGGTGGTTTTTATGTTTTACCGAAACAGATATGTATTCAAAGTAGAAGTTCAGTATTTAAAGCCAAGGCATATGATGTTCTTTCGTGAAACAAAATAAATTTACTAAGATTGGATGCTTTCATCAACTGATTAAAAGTGACTTTGAAGATTCATCACTAAGCCTACTTAGTACTATTATTAGTACTCTTAGTCCTACATTGTGGTCAGGGTACTAAGATAAGTATGTGTGTCACTGGAGCAACCGGGTGTGATTCACATCCGGCTCTTTTTTTAGCCTAATATTAAAAAAAATTGAGCATGTTCTTTGATATATACTGAAATAAATTGAGTAGTCATCTTATTTAATACTGGAGTTATCGCAAATCACTTTAGAAATAGTGGTAAAATCTCGTTTACCTTATCCGATATTTTCGTATTGATCGTCCGCCATATTAGTTCAAATAATGCCTACTTCCGCTCTCAGCCTCGTTTTATTTGTGTGCCACATAAGGACGTTAATGCCTTATTTGGAAACGTAAACAGATCGTAGTAAAAAAAATATGGCGCGGTTTGAGTCGGAAATTCTGCGCATTAAAAGTAAATACGGTTTACCGGTGACTTTGAAATTCCACCAAGAAACAAAACAAGCTGAGGCTACGAAATCGTAGCTATAAGCCTACTGTATTCAGATTCGTAAGGAATCTTTTTTCGTTTCCTAAACCATAAGAGCAGGACGTTTTATTAATAAAGTAAGATGAAATATCTGGCAAAACGAAATTACCTTATTGGTACCATAAATTAACTAACTGATGGAGTCTTTCTGTAGAAAGACTTTGTGACTGAAATGGTGAAAATGAAGGTCAATTTTCCGCATTAGATTCATGCGATGGTCATTAAAGAGTTATGCGTTGGTGCGTTACTCTCTTGAATGGATATGTGTAGCATTTTAAGTCTTCTTGCGATTCTGAAGCGAAAGACGCGTAACAAAAGTCGAATCAAGCGGTTGGTTTATAGTACCGATAATGTGATTTCGTTTTGTCGGAGAATTCATCGCACGTTATTGATAAAACATTCGACTCCTGAGTTGAATCCTATTTTAGTGCTTATAAATAGGCTAGGCTATGCACAAGTCAGAATTAGTTTGCCAATAAAATAGCAGTTATTTGATCCATATAGGTTAAATATTCCAGGATTTATTCGCGGTGAGAAAAACAATGTTTACAACCTGATCCCTCTTCGCAATCAAATATGTGACATTTTGTGTAGACCTACACGAAAGGACAGGTGGAAATACAGTTAACAGTATGATGAATTTAACTACAGAAGTCTAATTTTATCAATAAATCATGGCGAAATTTCTGAAATGAAATCACCTTAACGGTATTAAAAATTAAAACATGTACAATACCATGAATTTGATTTCATGTTGTCAGAAATTGTGTCGTGCTTTTTTCATCAAACTGTAGACTCCTGTGATTTAACCCCTCAAATGTGTGCAGATACTGATGTGTCAACACAGATTTGGGGATTAGATTCGATTGGACTAGTGGGAATAGAGACTGATGGTTTTGTGGAATAGTGGAATTTAGAGACTGATTGTTTACATGGAATGCTTTTCTTGTAAAAGGTGAAGTTGACTTGTAACATGGATTTGTAACAGCGAGCCTAATTATTGTGTTTATTTGTAAAAAAAAAATATGCTTGCACACTTTTTCAATACAATTACAACATATCAATGAAATATAACTGTAATAAATTAAATTAGTAAAGGACATATTCACGAATTTAATGTTGTCATATTTGTTCATGTAAGACAACTATTTATTTTGCACTTTCAGAATTTGTCCATTATTATGAATTGGTCATTAAATTTATAGTAACAGCCAGAAGAGATGTTTTTTATTATAATTATTTGACAAGGACAATTGACACATGGGACCACGGTGATTTAATGTTTGGATTAATGCATGTCAGATTGTATTTTACTGATTTATCAAGGCCATTTTGACAACCAGTTGGTTTGCATTTAAGTGCCTCTGATGATTTGTTTGCATGGCTTGATAGGTCAAATTGGTATATTCAACCCCTGTTTTATAAGCATTGAATTCAAACCTAGTAGGTTTTAACTGGCTATGTCATTGGAATCCAGTGGTGAGAGAGGTATAACCAAACACTCTGTAATAGAATGTATCTTTAATCTGGTACTGATTGATTGTTGTGTTGAATCACAGGAGTCTGCAGTTTTATCAATAAAGCAGGACGAAATTTCTGACAACAAGAAATCTCCTTAAGGGTATTATAATTGACATCTTAAAGGTCTCAAAATCTGGCTTGGGAAGTCAAATACCGTTAAGGTGATTTCATGTTAGAAATTTTGTCAAGCTTTATTGATAAAACTGCAGACTCACGTGGTTGAATTGATCTTGAAAAGCCACTCAAACTGTATTTTAAAATTAACAGGTTATTTGTTATTTTTAAACAAAGGGTCTGCACAATGTTGGTTGTTGTTGTTGTAGTATTTTAACGCAATTTTTCAGCACAATATAGGCTATACACGGCGGCCAATATTAATGGTGGATGAAGAACCTTGGAAAACCCAGGGAAGAACCACCGACCCACGAAAAGCTACTGGCAGGCTTTCTCACTTACCTATGTTAGCCGAGTCTGGACTCGAACTCACGCAGACAGAGCACAATATTGGTTGAACAATAACAATGACAATAGTAATAATAATAATACTTTATTTATAGATGATAACTCAATTAGTACAGTATTACTCTTCCTTGAGAACTGCTTAAAATGTGGGAAAAAGTATAAAATTACATTATATTTACATAATAATATAAAATATCTGTTTTATGACAGTAATCAGATGTCAAGCCTTCTTTTTTGAAACACCACCTTTTTAAGAGACCAGGATCACCATTTACAAATTGATT